GGGGTTGTTGTCGTATCAGGTACTACAGATATGTACCCGAGGTACATATCTGTATACACAAGTGTACCTGACCAATGATCTGCCCATGTATACATGTACGTCGTACTATTTTGGAGTAGTCTACATGTATGGGTGCTTATGCATGTATAAACTGCTTATCAATTTTAACATGCATTTCTCATTAAAACCTCAAAATATTGTTCGCATGTGATGTAACTCCAAATTTGTATATTAATAAAACCATTTGTGGTGGATCGGGATGGCTGCATGTAGGGGTGTTGGGGGCCATCTAACGCAAAAAATATTCCTATTTAACATATATTTTATCACAAAAATTCCTATTTTCTTCCTATTTTTTCACATCTGAAATTCCTATTTTCCTATTTTTTGAGCGTCACTTGTCACTTGACGCCCTGCAGATATCAAAGCTAGTTTTGTTATCATGTAAAATTTTGATTTCCTTCAAGTCCTGTCAATGAATCAGAAGAAAAAGAAAACAAATAAAGAATATAGCCAAATTCCATCAAATTGTCAGTATACATGCCAGTAATCTTAAATGGTATGCCCTATGAGGCTACACCATCTGCTAGACCGTTGAATATACAGGGGTGAGGAGATAAGATATAGTGCTTGAATTATTTAAACAAAACGAAATAGAAATATTGATGACATTTTACTGCCGTTGTGTGCCACAGATGGCAGCAATTTAAGTTGACCATGTACCAATTTTAATATGATATAAGTAATATTAATAATTTAATAGTATAATGGTTTCTATTTTTGTGCATGTTTTGAGCATATTTCAAGGCTTTTTTACACCAATAATATTAACGTTGCAACCCAGATGAGAGACCGGATACCAGAGAAGCGTCGCCTGAGAGGTGTTGATCCTGCCCGCTGAGCTCGGATCTTGTGCCAGTTCCGCGGCAAGGCGCACGCGACCGCGGGAACGTCCTTCGAGACTGTTCGCTGGCAGCAATTGATCCGTGCGCCGGCCTTTCGATTTGGCGCACGGATCAATAGCTGCCAGCGCGTGATACTTTCGTATTTTAGCGGGTCTAATTCACTAGCAAACATATGCACACACCATCGCGCAGGCCTAATAGCGATGTTTCAAGTGCCCTCTTCTTCTTGTTGACTGCCTTCTTCTTTGGAGCCATGCTTGTAGATATTGTAAAGTAGATATGCAGAGATGTGACTTCTCTGAATTCTTGATAACAACTGAAAATGACGTGTTCGATTTTGCAGCCTTTCCCAAATCGTAAACAATACGTAATAACACGTAAAGTATACGTATCTATTCGTAAAGTGCTCGTAATAACTCGTAACAATCCGCAAAGCCATCGTAACACGACCCGAATGAAATCGTAATAACTTGTAATAATCCGTAAACAAATCGTAAACTAACCATAGCAAATCGTAAAAAAATGGTTACGAGTTATTTACGGATTTTTGCGAGCAGTTTACGGATGGTTACGTGTTGTTGCGAGCGGTTTACAATACTTACGGATTGTTACGAGTTATTTACGGAAAAAATCAATCCGTGGACACTCGTGAGAAGTCAAAAAATTTGCCTCTCTTTTCACGGATCCTTACGAGTGTCTGCGAGTTGTGACGAGTTAATACGGATACCAGCGAGTTATTTACGGATGCTTGCAATTGACTACGAGTTGGCGATCCGTAAGGACTCGTAAGAAAAACCCGTGTATGTGAAGGGGGTATTAAAGGGAGTTACTATTCTGGGAAACCCTTTACAGTTTTGCCATCCCCTGGATATAAACGCTGTTGTAAATGTAAAACGGTGTTTGGTATAAACCAGTGACGACCGACAATTTGGATATTCGACAAGGAAATACCCAGTCAGCGAACGATCAAAACAGTTAACGCTGGTGCGGTTTCCATTTTGCACACGTAACAGATATAATTCCTTTACGCGTTCACTGTCGCGTGTCGCAATATTTCGCACGTGTCTTATCCCCGCCACAACGGCTTTTCCTCTCGAAAGTCGCGACCTGGGGCGATTGTGTCAGCTTGTGACAGCTTGTGACGGCTAAGGTTCAACAGATGCGCATGAAAACTCGGCGAACTGATGGTGGCTGCCGGAGCAACGTAGCGCCGTATGTACCATCAATGTTTAATGATGAGTTACACCAACGCGCGAGTGTCTAATGCGACGTGAACAGGGACACTATTGCTTATTAATAGAAAGAGGGAGGGAGGGAGGATGGGATGGGGATGAACGAGGAGAGACAAAGAGAGAGAGAGAGAGAGAAAAAAGGGGCAGAGAGAGAGAGAGAGAGAGAGAGAGAGGGAGAGAGAGAGAGAGAGAGAGAGAGGGGGGGGGCAGAGAGCGAGGAGAGAGAGAATGTACATATTTATTTATTTATAGAAATTCGGCTATAAATATGTACGTATAAATTATTGGCAGATGTCATACGTGCATATAATATGTAATTTTATTATTTGCTATGCATATATGTATTGATAGATGATCCGTACGTCATAGCATCATATAATTACACACGCACACGCACCACACCTCAACACACACAGCACACACACACCACACACACCCACAGCTCATACGGCGACCCAGCACACGTTTCTATCAACTGCGCACCACGCAGCACGCACCACGCACACACCACGCTACGCACACACACTGCCGCACATATATATATATATATATAATATATATAATATATATATTATTATATATATACCGTGCTGTAGTTGTACCTGTAGCTGTGTAGTTACACCATGTATTGTGTAGTTGTACCTTACTGTGTAGTACACGCTGTATTGTGTAGTGTATACCTGTACTGTGTAGTTACACCTGTATTGTGTAGCTTATACCCTGTAGTGTGTAGTTACAGTTGTATTGTGTAGTTATATACCTGTACTGTTGTAGTTACAGCGTATTGTTGTGAGGTAGTACCTGTACTGTGTAGGTATACCTTGTACATGTGTAGTTACAGCGTATGTGTAGTTACTGTACTGTGTAGTTACACCTGTATTGTGTAGTTATACCTGAGCCTGATGTAGTTACACCTGTATTGTGGTAAGTTTACATGTACTGTGTAGTCTAAACAGCTTGATTTTTGTAGTTATACCTGTACTGTGTAGTTAACCTGGTATTGTGTAGTTATACCTGTACGGTGTAGTTACACTGTCGGGTGTAGTTACACTGTATTGTTGTAGTTATACCTGTACTGTGTAGTTAGCACATGTATGTGTAGTTAATACCTGTACTGTGTAGTTACACATGCTATTGTGTATTTAGTAACTATACTGTGTATTTAACGAGCTGTGTGCTGTGTAAACTAAGATTGTATCGTGTAGTAAGTTATACCTAGTACTGTGGTAGTTGTAAGGGGTAGACGGGTCACTGACGAAGACGTTGTTAGCGAACCGTATTCCTACGAGTGTGCGGTCTATTGTCATAAGTCGACGTGTATGCGTGCCTCATCCTAGTGATGCTGCGGCGGGACCTCCCGTCATGG